AATTGATTCCTTAGATCAATGATTTGGCAAATTGCAAAATTTTTCTTTTTTTTCTTCGATTTTTTTTTTCTTTTTTTTTTTTTTTCTTTTTTTTTTATACAAACTTGAGCTTTTCATCGTATTGAACGGGATAACTTAAAATATTTATAATTGAATTATTTATTTACAGATAATAATAATTCCCTCCTCCTACTTTGTTTTTATGATCAACATATTGTTTACAATTAAAATCGTCGCTGATCGTTCGTTCAGTCGATGAGGGTTCAGCGTAGAAAAGGGAACAAAAGGATATGAAAAAATAAATAAATAAATAAAAAGGTCAAATTGATTATACGTAACGAATGATAACGCACGTACGTGACGAATGATGAAGATATTTAAAAAAAGAAAAAGAAAAAAAAAGAAAAAAAAACAATGGAAAAAGAAATAAAAAGAATAATAGTAATAATAATAATAATAATAATAAAAACAGATTATAAAAAAGTAAAATAAAAAAATGTGGAATTAATACAAACAATCGTAATTTTGTTTGTTCCTTCGTTCGTTCATTCGTTCGTTCGTTCGTTTGTTCATTCATTCATTCGTTCGTACGTTTTAACAGTAATTTAACGCATTTTATAAAAATCAATATATAAACGTTAATCCCCGAATGGAATAAGGTCTCTATAATATCGATCGGTCATTCACATTCCATTATATGCTGGACCACCACCACCCTCTGGTACAACCCAATTAATATTTTGACTGGGGTCTTTGATATCGCAGGTTTTGCAATGAATGCAATTTTGTGCATTGATCTGCAGCCTCTCGCCATCGCCACTTTCCATTGGAACGAATTCGTATACACCTGCAAACGAATAAAACATTGTGATCAAAAAGAAAAAGAAAGAAAGAAAGAAAAAAAGGAAAAAGAAAAAACAAGAGAGAGAGAGAGAGAGAGAGAGAGAGAGAGATGAAAAAAGAAGTATAAAAAAATTATGACATTGCATGTATAAATGTGCAATCATATCTTTTTTTTCAAAATTTTTAAATATCTACTTGTCTCTCTCTCTCTCTCTCTTGTTTTTTCTTTTTCTTTTTTCTTTGTCTTATGATAGATTGAAAAATAATAATATATTGTTGGAAAGATAAGTTCTATTATTATATCTACCCTATTTCTACCCTTATCGTAGTACAGGGTAGAAAAAATATTGAGTTTATTTATAAATGCAATATTAGATCAAACCAATAAAGAGAGAGACAGAGAGAGAGAGAGAGAGAGAGAGAGAGAGAGAGAGAGAGAGAGAGAGAGTTATGCAAGATAATATTATTATAAAATTAAAAGAATTCTAATTATGAAAAATAACATTTATATACAATATTATAATTAATATCTGATGAATATACATTAGAATTACGATATAATAGAATTACAATAATATTAATATATAGCATATATTAGAGAAAAATTAGAATTTTATTCTAATTCTATATTTATACATGTATTTACATTTATTAAGTTAATTCATAAATAAAGATTTCATTTTATCATTTTATCATACTAATTACTTATTTACAAATTAACTTGATATCATATAATTAGAATAAAACTCTTATTCTTATTTGCTTAAGTTAATTAAAAATTTCAATATTATATTATATGTTATATACATAAACGAAAAAAAAAGAAAAAGATGAAAAAATTAACAAAAGAAAAAAAAAAAAAGAAAAAAAAAAAGAAAAAGAATTTCATTTAAATATACGACGCGATTAGACGGAGGAAAAAAAAAAAAAAAAGAAAACGACGAATAAAGAAGAAAAAACAAAAAACCAAACAGAAAAAAAAAAAAAAAACAAAAAAAAAGCAAAAAAGAAAAATAAGATCTACAATAATTTGAGAAGAAATATTTCAAATGAAATATTTCATTGGTACATTTTGACGCTGCGATTTGTACGTATCGTTGGATCGAATACGGACAAAGAATTTTCGTATTCGAGGTTGTTGGCCCAGCTCTACGTGCAGTGTGACCCTCGATTTTGGGGGTTGTGCTTGGTCGGGGGTTGTCTAGCCGAGCGGGGGTGGTTGCCCGGGCGGTTCAGGTTCAAGGACGCTCCGGTCGATAAACTCCGGCGACTGGTTGGAGCTGGATAGTGAGCGAGGAGAGGGAAGAAAGTCCTGGAAAGGAGCTCAAGCCGGAAATGGAAGAGATAAATCTAAGAGAGCATGAGAGAGAAAGAGAGAGAGAGAGAGAGAGAGAGAGAGAAAGAGGAAAAAAAAAAGAGAGAGAGAGAGAGAGAGAGAGAAAGATAGGGAGAAGGAAACTTTTGAATTTACTCGAATCGTTCGATTTCAAAAGTTTCTAACAATCGTATTAGGCGATTTCGAATTTTAAATCTGTAATTACTTTGGCCCTGTTAACAGATATAAACAACAAAGAGAAAGAGAGAGAGAGAGAGAGAGAGAGAGAGAGAGAGAGAGAGAGAGAGAGAGAGAGAGAGAGAGAGAGAGAGAGAGAGAGAGAGAGGAACGATAAGAGGGAAGTGATAATGATAATGAAAATAGAGGGAAAATTTAAAAAGGAAAAAAAAAAAAGAAAAAAAAAATAATTGAAATAGTCGTTAAATGGAAGAATATAATTTAGGAAAAAAGTTTGTAATAAAGATACGCGATTAAAAATATTCAATGAATATTAAATATTACAAATATTATATATATATATATATATATATATATATATATATGTGTGTTATGTATGTTCGTGTACGTTGAAATAAATGTTATTTATTACATACTTCGTAAATACGAAGAATATATTATGCGAAGAGAAAGGAATATGATATAATATAGCGCTGTGATAAAAATCCGCAATGCGGATTTCTTATATAGTATATGAGGTTACTTGACTGAATGGTGAATTTATTTAAGCGACATTTTTTGAACGTTTATAGATTTTTGTCATACGTGTCAATTACAGGATGTTGTATTTCTTATAAGATTTTTTTTTTATTCTTTTTTTTTTTTTTTGTTGATTTTAATAGGGTAAAGGTAAATATGTATGGGTCGACTTGATCCTCAAGTCTAATA